ACTTGCGTCCGATTGCGGGTCCAGCAGAGCGTAGGTGATGATGGGCTGCTCCGGTTGATTTTCGTGATACAGCTTCACGGGAACTATCATAGTGTGGCAATTGGACACTCCGACATCCCCGGTGCTCTGAGCGGTAGATCGCAGCGAAGATGCCTTCACCTGTGTGTCGCCGCCATGCTGCTTGCCGCTACTTGTCTTGTCGTGACTGCCTGCGCTCGCTGTCGTCTTCATGAGCTTGTCATCGTGCAGCAGCGTTGGGTGCGACATCTGGCACTTGTCGCACTTATCTCTTCTTCGACAGTCACGCCAAATGTGTCCTGGCTTCAGGCACCCTCTGCATAGCCTCTTCTTCGTGACCTCTTCTTTGCGCTCGTCAAGGCGCAAGGCCATGAACTTCTTGCATGTGTGCACGTCGTGGGGTTCGGTACAGATGACGCACGGGCGGCGTACTGCTCGTGCGGTCGTGACTTGCTGGGTGGCCCGTTGCTCCTCGCTTTGGTGCCCACACGCTTCACACTTCTTGTGGCTTGATGTGAACGCATGCGCCTTGCCACGGATGTTCCTTACAGGTGGGCTCTCTTCAGACTGCGCGCCGCTGCTCACCGGACCACAGGCGATACGCCCCTCCGTAGAGACGAGCTGAACGAAGTCAGCGAAGCTTGGGTAGTGCGGCGTCGGTCCGTAGACGCTGGAGTCGACGAGGCGCTTCCACCTGTCCGCGATATAGACAGGGAGCTTCTTCAGTACCATCTGGATCGTGTGAGGATCATCCAGCGCTCTCATACCTGGGATGGCCGAAGACGCCATGTGACAGTGCTCCAAGAAGTCTGCCAGTCGTTGGAGTCCTTTACTGTCCCCGGACTTCACTGCCGACCACTCCCTCAGGCGCTTCAGGTAGCTGCTGGCGATGAGGAAGTCGTTCCCATACCGAGCGACGAGCTTCTCCTTGGCCTTCACGTAGGCGTCACTTGTCCTCAGGTGCAGGAATCCGGCGATGGCGCTGTGAGCATCTCCTTCCGTATATCTGCTGAGGAAGTGCAGGCGCTCCACTGGACTTGACGTTCGGTGCTCGACGTACGTCTCGAATGCCTTCAACCAGAGCGGGAACTTTTCGATGCTCCCCGAGAACACGCCTGGTTCGATGAGCGGGAGGTGGCTCTGCTTGTTCTGGTCCTTCAGGACGCTCACCAAGCTGGAGAGAACGTCGGCCGCAGTCGAAGGGCTCGGATCGTTGGATGTCTCAGACTCCTTGCACGCCTTTGCTTGCTCGGGCACAGCTATCTTGCTTGAGGCTTCTTGTTTTTCAAGCTTGCTCTTCGGTACGGGAAGCTCTGATGCACGCATCGCGTCTTCTTCTTCTTTGCTCCTCTGGATGGGAATCCCGGGTGCGCACATTCCTTCCTCCTCTTCAAACTTCAGTAGAGCCCCTTGCTTCGCCTTCAGGATCTCACGCTCAGTATCCAGCTCCAGTTCCTGCATCTTCCACTGCAGCTCTTGTTTCTGACGCTCCATTTGCAGTCGCTTCTTTGCGGCAGCTGCTCTGGCTTCTAGCTCCGCTCTTCTCTGGGCGTCTTCAAGTCGCAGAAGGCTGATCTTCGATCGGACAGAACACCTTGATGATGCGACTGATGGCTGAACTTCTTGTGTCTTGTGAGTAGGCTCCAGTTTCTTTTCCATCTCGGCCTTCATTGTGTTGAGTTCAGGCATCACATCTTGGTGTCTTGACAGGTGTTGCTGCAAATCAACTTCAGAGAGAAGACCTTGCAGCTCACTGGAAGTCTGGACCAGATCGATGTATGTTCTCTTCCACTGGATGTATGCTTCTTTGAGCGTCTCATTCTCCTCTTCACCTGCCACTTCCAGCCTCTTGATGATATCGACACCCTTCTTCAACTCCTTCAGATCCTTCTGGTACTTCTTTTGCTTGATGTCGATCTGGAACTGTCTCCCTTCTTCAGTCAGCGTTACTTGTCTTCCACGTTGTGAGGTGAGACCTGGAAGTCCACGCGCTTCACTGATGCTGTCTCCCTCCATGTTCGGTTCCTTGTTGGTTGACTCGTTAATGGGGGACAGCTACAGCTCTAGCTACTGAGGTAATTGAGGAAAAAATAATAATGAGAAGCATAATTCTGACTCTGCGGGTCGTGGTTAGTTTGTTAGTAGTATGGTCACTGACCGATGAAAGAGTTTTTACTGATGCGGCCTCCGCCACCACCGTCAATCAAACTCAAACTACTGGATGCATTGGGATAGGGCACATGTATTGGGATCCAGTAATGTGGGGTAATGACAGAGAACCTTGGGTTGGTAACACCAGTCACCGTAAAAACCTGTCAATCACACACATGAGAAAATGGGTTAAAATAATGCTCTCTCAGCAATAAAGCGCACACATTCACACTCACATACACACTTCGCGTTAAATGTGACACATGAAAATGTGGCGAACGTTCAATCGAAACTTTGGTAAACGCATGATAAATAATCGAAACCAGTACGCTTGTACTTTGTAACAGAATGATAGCGCGAAAAAATTATTAACACATGGTGAAGCCAAATCGCGACGAACGATACAACGGAAATGACTAGAGAAAAATAGAAACGTACTCTTTCCAGGTACCTCGAGTGACAACGGTGTGCTGTCTCCACAGTCACTCCTCCCAGTCGCTCAATGCGCAACAAAGAAACAAACAAATAGCCGCCCAGCTCAATTAGCACTCATTCAATGGCTGGCGAACCTGCAAATGAGGAGAAACCAAAGTCAGATACAACTGTTACGCAGTTACAGTCTGGCTAGTGGCTAATCGTTCCTAAGCTTCAGAAGCAGAACATAACCATGACTGAAACCCCACATTACTTCTGCTGTGGACTGTACATTTAAGAGCGATCCACATTTCAAATTGCGTGGCGATTTCTGCTCAGACAGATGATTGCCTTCGTTTCTTTCTGAGGACCTTAGCTGGTCTTCGGGCTTTGGAAGACAGACTCGTCGATCTGATAGCTCTTGGTCTTGAGGCAACATACGGAGGTCTTGCGGGCCCAAAGTCGGCATCTGAGGGGTCAAGTGTGCCTCTGAGGGTCCCACCTCACTTTTGAGGTCCCCGCGTAAGATCCGGCACAAACTCGAAGGGCCTACACTGGGATTTGAGGGCTCATGCTGATTGCTGGTCGGTCTCCTAGGACCCTCAGCGGCTTCTGAGGGTACCCTACATTGAGGTCGAAAGTCCTAACATCTCTCATAGATTGTTGTTTACCCGAAACGCTCTTTGAGGCTCCTACACAGGAGTCTGAGAGACCTCGCTGAATCTTGAGGGACCCGCAATAGTCATGAGAGACCCACAACCTTCTGGTTCTAAATTATTGAATTTGCTTAAAAAAAAGCGGGCTTCGTATTTGGATTTGATTGATAAAGTGTTTAAATCATGAATGTATCGTAAAGCTTGTTATGCGATGGTCGTGTGTGTGTCATGTGCACTGCTCATTCTTCTTCCGGACTAGCTCGCCAGGTATGATGTAACCAATGATATACGAGTAAATCTGCATCGGCGCTGCATAGTGCGTGTCTCCAGTTGATTCCACATTTTAGCAAGAGTCGGAGCTCTGTCGCACCTATTGTATTGTCTCTGCGGGCTGGGCCATCCTCTGTCTGCTCCCTCTGTGGCGTGCCCATAAATCCGCGTTACGGTCTTTATCAGAGCTCGCTACACCCCCTCCCGACGTAATATACCTTCACGTTCTGTTTGGACAGAATGATAAAAAGACAATGGTCCCGGATTTGTCATGATCAGCCGGGCACGTGCCGTCTTTTGGCGTGACGTACGGCGCCGCCGGGATTTGAACCGGCCTCCGTCTGGGAGACGCGCAGCTGTGATGTATTGATGGGCTGATCACCTGCCTCTATTTAATGACGGCGGCTCGGGCCTCGGACAGTGATCGGTGTGATCGGGAAATATTGTACGGTGTGGATTCAATGAAGCAGTGTGTTTGGGTCTCTTTGGCGATCTGCTCTCTTCATCGAGTTTTAATGTAACCAAAGTTTTCCTGTACGGATTAGACAATAGACGCTTAGGTCGTGAAACTGGGGTCTATCAATGTTATGTCACGCAAAGCAATCCGATAATAGGTATTGGTGTAATTGCTGATTCGAATGCGATGGATACTATTGTTCGGAAATAATTTTGTTTAAATATCTTGACAAATAGATGACGGTTCTCTTATATGATTTCTCTATTGTGCCGCAATAGAGGAACGATTCCATTTATTTATTTATTTTGAATGCTGACCAGCATCCCGCGCTTTGCTCTCACCTCTACTTTCTGAAACTCTGCTGAACCGCCGCGAGTGCGATTCAGGGCGCAGTTTCTTTCCACCCGCCGCCTCCGCCGCACCACACGGCCTCCTCTCGATTAACCGGGCACGTAACAAATGTCCATATTAGTGGGCTATTGGGCGCCGGTGCGGATTTGGCGCGCGCCCGCCGGTCACTCCCCGCCGTGCGGGGCCGCCGATCCGTTACGGTCCACGACCGGCCGTAAGCTGCTCAACTTTTCATAGGGGGCCATTTGTCGTCTATTATTTCATTTTCGTGCGCCATCTATTTGTGATCCCCAATAGCCGCTGGTCATCAGAAATAATATCCGCCGCGGGCACTGAGCTCCCAGCGGTCGCCCGGAAGGAGGGAGGAGGGGGCGGTAGGTTACGTTGGCCGCCGCCAGGCGCCTCCACACACACCGGTCGGCGTTAGAAGAAAGAGAAATAGAAACTGAAAAGGCAGTTGATGCCGTGAACTAATGGGGCAACAACGAATGGTAACACCATATGCCGTGGGTGTAACATGTTTATATATTTCAAAGATCTTTGGAAAACAGTAATATCGGACAGCTCACTTAATATAAAGCGTGCCTTTCCATCAATTTCCCTACCTCACCTACTCATGTTTTTGTTTTATCTGTCCGCTTTTGACCTGGCCTAACCCCGCGCGCGTCCCCTGCCGTTCCCAGACACTGCTGCTGACCAGCCGGCCGCTGGGCGCCGTCACCCAGCTGCTGGTATCGCCGGCTGGCCAGCGGCTGGCGCTGATCGGACCCGGAGGCGTCACCGTGGTGGAACTGCCCGCTCGCTGGGGCAAACATGGACTGTACGAGGGGGGCAAGCCGCGACTGACCTGCACGTGAGTACGACGGGGAGAGGGCGACGGGGAGAGGCACAGAACGGGGACGCAGTGTTGGATGAACGGACTGGGACGTCGTTTTTTTCTCTCGTTTGGTTGTGAGTGACGGATGTTGAGGCAACTCTTTGGAATCCAACTATCTGATGGTTTGGGATGCAGCTACCAACACACCAAAACCACGTAGCCCTTGTTGATCATTTCAAACGGGTAGTAATTAGTAAAATACCTCCACGCCCATAATTGTGGACATTGCCCGGTACTTTCCTGTGAAGGGTTGGGCCCTGGATGTGATAGAAGGGCCCCGGCCTGGATGCGCCGCGTTCGCCCCCGTGTGCCGTTCCCAGGCAGACGTGAATGAGTTCCGTCAGCCGCATACCTCATCTGCAGCGATCCCGTGGCGCGGGGTTCGATACTGCCCAGGAGCGGCGTATTTCACGTGAGATATCGAACTCGTGCTGTGTTAGCGGGGCCCAGATCGATATCTGGTCTGTCGTGAACCGGGTAGCGGGGAGCGGCGGCGTGGGGTCCGACCGCCCGCCGGAGCTCACACGCCCGGTCACCCCGGGAGGCCCTGCTCAATGTGTGGCCCTGCAATCGGACTGCGCCTCAGAGCGTACAGTCACCAGCACTTGCTACTAATCACCTCGTTTTTGTTCAGTAGTTTGAAGACCGATCAATTCTCAGTCGCGCAAGATACGTCAAACGATCCGTTTGGTCCTCCGATTTTCGAATATCTAACTTGTTTTTGTATATTCGAAGCATTTTGGGATGGGGAGCCAAAAAACCTCTTTTCTGCCCTAAAGTGTGCCCCAAGAAGTCGTAGAACCTAGTCCCGCCTCTGATCCACAGACCACTAGTGCCATCTCTTGTCAGCCGAACAAGCCGCAGAAGTAAATAATGTCACGTGACCTTTGCACACGCTACAATTACTACGCAGCTGTGTGGGGGAAGCGGGGCGGAGGCGTGGAGAGGGACGCGATCGGTCGGCTGGGGTCAGGTCGCCGAGGTCAGAGGTCATCCGCCGGAGGGTGTTTGGGCGGTTGGGCCGTGTGGGCTGGGGCCTGCGGAGTGGGAGCGCCTGGACCTGTCTGGAAACAAGCCCTACAACGCAGTGACAGTCGAGAATATTGTGAGGAAAGAGAGAGAGTGAGGGAGATGGAGAGGGAGAGAGAGAGGAAGAGAGAGGGGAGAGAGAGAAAGAGAGAGGAGAGAGAGAAAGAGAGAGAAAGAGAGAGGGAGAGAGAGAAAAAGAGAAAAAGAGAGAGAGAGAGAGAGAGAGAGAGAGAGAGAGAGAGAGAGAGAGAGACAGAGCGAGAGAAAGAGAGCGCGAGAGAGAGAGAGAGAGAGAGAGAGAGAGAGAGAGAGAGAGAGAGAGAGAGAGAGAGAGAGAGAGAGAGAGAGAGAGAGAGAGAGAGAGAGAGAGAGAGAGAGCTAAGAAAGACTGGAGGGAAGGGATAAGGACGGGAGGAGAGAAGAGAGAGAGAGAGAGAGAGAGAGAGAGAGAGAGAGAGAGAGAGAGAGAGAGAGAGAGCGAGAGAGAGAGAGAGAGAGAGAGAGAGAGAGAGAGAGAGAGAGAGAGAGAAAACTGAAAAGGAAAACCAGAGAGGGTAAAATGAGAAAGAGGGCAATTGGTAAATCAGTGAGAGGGAGCGAGAGAGGAAATATTTAGTTGTGTCAGCTTGTTTCACATGTAAAATGCAAATTTGCTTTCCATCGTTACAGCTTCGGATTGGAAATTAAATCTTAGCATCCTTATGATAAACCCACGTTGACGGGATGCAGTAGCGGCGGAACACCTTCAATTAAGGGGGGGGGGCACTGCCCACTTTTGGCCCTATTATTTCCATGCAACGCTCATAGGGCTAATGAAGAAACGCCAAAATCAGAGGGGGCACGGTGTCCCGGTGCTCTCCCCGTTACGCAGCACAGTGAAAACTAGCACAGTGACAATCGTCTGAAATAAAATTGGATTCAGTAAGAACTAAGAACTTCATTGTCCGAAAACCGCTGACAGTTGATAGCTCAATGACACTTAGAGCCGTGCAAAAGGAGGCGTGAAAACACTCTCCTCATTTCCTATTACGAGAGGGCCTTGTCATGGCGTGAGAAAGGTGCTCTCAAAATAAATGACACTGTATGAGTGAATAAATATTCCGCGCCCCCTTGGGCTATTGGCGGACCCTACCACCTGATCGGGTGGTGCAGCCGTTTCGCCCTCCACCTGAGATCTCGGAAAGTTACCGACCGATTTTAAACATTCAAAGAGCGTTCGATAGCCCCACCAGGGAACTACCATGTTACCAGGTTTCGTTGACCTAGGTGCAACCCATGACGTCACAAGTCAGGTCAAAGGTCGCATTGTTTTCACCGATTTAGTCTAAGGAATGCGTTACAGTCAGTTAACACATCAAATAAAACGCATGCTATCGAAAAAACATCGATGGAGCGTTGGTTGTCTAATACATATGCTGCCTAAAGATGTCATTGATGCCAGGTCAGTTCACAGAGGTCAGGTCACTTAGGGTCACAATATGAACCCAACTATGCTAGGGTCGTGTGATACATGTTTTATGGCCAATTTTACATTTAAAATTCAATGGTGTGAGCTAGACGGCCGTAGACGGCGTGAGTGGAGGTCAGGTCAAGGTCAGGTCAAAGAAGGTCAAATTTCAAAGTTGATATTTTGCATAAAAGGGGTATCTATTCGATGCAACTCATCACAGGAAATCCAATAGTCTTTGGCTTGCTTTGTGTGTTCTGTGACGGCTAAAAATTGAATTTGAAAATTTTACGTAATAAATTTTGAGTAGCTTTCTTGCCATAACTTTGCTAAAAATGGAGCTATCGAGTTTAAGTTTGGCGAGTTAAGTTTAAGATATCTAGATCAGATAGTTCTATAACATATATTTCAGTTTTAATTTTGAAAGTTGTTGGTATTTTCGGGGTGTTATACTTCTATAGTTTTGATGGTCAAAATCAATTTTTGTTTAGAGATAAGAGTTAGCAGTTCGGTAGCGCTGTTTATTTTACATCTTTTTGATCTTGAATATTTTTCGTTATCTTCAAAACTGTAGCGTGACAGCTCTCCCCGCTAAATCTTTTATTGGGTCGAAAATGACAAAACATGGCATCCCTCTGACGTCATTTGTGACTAACCTTTCATAAGAGCTCTGGAAAATTTGGTCACAAGGTGTAAAAATGATGCCCGGAGGGGTCTTGAAAGTTTGGTGCCGACATTTGCTATACTTTAGGAGATATCGACTTAAAAGGAGAGAGGGGACCGTTTTGCGCCGCCGTCCCCCCTCAACGGGGCTTTCAGTTGCTGCTCTCACAGAACAATTGGTTATATTACAACGTAGTGGAATTGCAAGCGGCAATATAAGCTTCCTGCCAGCGCCGGACCAGAGTTTAATAATGTTACATGCAGGCTGAATTTTAACATTTAACTTTTGAATTTTTAAACCGTTGAGCTTTTTAGAAGTTGTATGAACTGTTCAGCTCCTTTTTTGGTCAATCACAGCGGGCTTGTATGTCATTTGTCAACCAAAATCGAATTAAAAACTTTTTATTTGGTCTGGCTACCTTGCCAACTCCTTAACTGGATCGTCTAGTAGCTTTTGATTGGGCACTGTCCACATTGTCTAGCTTTTCGTGTCATAGACACTGTCTATGACACGAGAAGAGGCTACTGACATCGTTTGTCGCGGTTGGATAATACCAATCCACGTCCCAGTGGCTGCTCGATCGCACTTTCCCTGGCCCACCTCTCCCACCAGGCTAGACTTTGCCCGGCACAGCCGTCGCCTCAGTGCCTCGGGCGGTGACCCGTTCAAAGGGGCTCACAATTCGTATGGTGCCGTGGCTCTCAAACCAATACAGAACAGTGAAACGCAAAGGCTCACTTTCCATATAAGGCGAACGGCTGATTCTGGCGCCGGGGCTTCATTCATGCTAAGGCGCCCAATCACAGCGCCGCATTTCAGTTAGTGTCGGGCGCAAAAGCTACTATGCTCCGCCCCTCCATCACTTGACCCTGCCCTCACGTGGCCTCAGTCACGTGGTGTTTCCACTTCTTGGCGCATGGCGGCGCTAGTCTCGCAGGGGCGGTGGTAGCTTGCTCCCCCGCCGTCCGAGGGTGATGGGTAGCAACTGCTGGTGACTGTACATCACACCGCCAAACTGCACAGACAACCACCGCTATGGCCAGCTATAGTCGTCAATGTAATTCGTACTCGGTAGCCCTTTAAAATACAGTCAATGTATTACAACGTAGTACTGCTTCGTACTGTGTAACCACCTAGAAATATGGGCAATGCATCGCGAGATACGCATGCGCCTCCACGCTGGTTTGGCTTCTTTATACGGGCGCTTTTCCTGACTGTAATTATCGCGACTGCCTTCTGTGCAGCGCGTTGTGTGACCGTTTATGTGTTCCGAACTGTGATTGTGGCGCGGCTCGCAGGAGAGCCACGTTAATCACAAGCCGCCGTTGCCATCAGCCACCCGGCCAGATGTGGCAATATCGCGTCCAATTAAGTAGCTCGAGCGGTCGTTCCCTTCATAGCCATATTTCGCTGATAGTCATCCTGAGGGGTTGGGGGAGGCGTCCGGTTAGAGACGCGACTGAAGTGTCGAGGAATGCCACCGGGCTTTCGCCGGCGTCGGGTGGGGTGCTAGACTGACCGGGCCCCGTGGTGTGGGCACGATTGTATCGCAAAGGCCTTTTCTCACCGGAAGCGATAGGAGACCTCACATGGAATGACAAATGTTAGTGTGACAATGCCCAACTTCGACACTGAGTTGGCACTAAGATGTTTCGCTCTTGGTGTTTAACTACAGCACGGATGACACGGTTGCAAAGAACAGGCATTTCCTGGCAATTCTATTGACACGGGTGCTCGCTGGCAGCCACCACTAGTCCACCTGTCAATGCGACACGGAATTATTCCAATCCGACTGGCCCATGTCAGAGCCGTCACTGACCCAACTCGCAGAGCGTC